CAGTAAATGTCGTGTCATTGGTCATGGCGACATCGAATATGCAGCTATGTAGATCGTTGTCAGAAATATTCAAGGATTTACACATGCTTGTCGCAATCTACGTTGAAGGCAAAAAATTTTTTTACACAAAGGATTGCTAACATATCCTTTCTGAAATTAAAAAGTTCATCTAAAGCACCTTAGATTCTCAAACTAGCCCCTGAAGCGCTTGGTTAGAATTTAGGTGACACGCATGTCTAAAAGAGACCCTCACTTCATTCCCTTTAAATCATAGCCAGATGTGATGGTTTTTCTTTCTTTCTTTTTTAGTTTTGTTCTGTGGTTTTGTTTTTTTGCTTTTTTTCTTTTAATATGCCTGCTTAGCAACAACGATGGCAGGCCCGACAGGGCTGGTCAAAGAACTAGGCTAATTTTTTTATTTTTGCAGCGATCGAGTTTCCCCTTTTTGGCAATGACAAAAGAACCGTGTGTAGTCCTTTATCTGCCGTGATACGGGTGAGAAATGAGCCATTGACGCGTTCTGTCCGTCCACTCAGTATTGAGGCATAAACTACCCAGTTACACTGTCCAATTGCAAGCAATGTGTAAGTACTATTCTATAAGTACTCAAATCTGGCTGTTAAAAACCAATCCCATGATTTATATGTACAATTAATTCGTGACCTGTATTAGCGGCTGGGAAATTCCGTCCAGTGAATACTTAGGAATGTATGACGGATCTGTATACGTTATGTCCATTATGTCATCGTGATAAAAGTTTGATGAGTTCCATGACCAAGAGTCCCGTGTGCCCGAGCCATCGTGACAACCCGTGATCCTCCCTATAGAATAAAAAGAACGCACAGATCAGTATGTAGGCTGGCATGGTTCTACACTTCACGCACTGCTTATCAATCACGTTTTCATGGGGTTATCGCTTTCTTTTGTCAACCCAAGACTACCCTATCTATCGCATTGAAGAGACCTGAGAAAGGTCAGAAAGCGCAGATACCTTTACTTACTACTTTTACATGTCTCTGCCAAAATTCATCGTCCCTATCTATCCCCTTTTGGCTCATCCTTATCACGTAAAAGTTTTTGAGTTCATCTTCATCTACAGACTCCCTCAGTTACTAGCGACACTTTGATTGCTTAAATACGTGGTTGCAATCTGCTGCTGATTCTATTGCTCAAATCTCCCTTTCTCTGCCAAAAACTATACTCAACTTTGATAGGAAAATTAGACTTTATGCTTTTGTTTCTTTTAGTTTTTATTAGAAATATCCAACGGCCAGTAAAATTACTCATTTCGCCTTCAGCTCTCGTAAGTTTCCAGCAGTTGTCCCACTTGACCGGGAACGTCTCTCAAACCCCCGAATGCACAGTAGAGATATGAAGCGAAATTTTCTTAGGGTTGGGCTAAAAATCCTGTGGCAACATCTAGATCAAACTATGTAATTAGCTTTCCTTACATGATTCGGCAAATTTAACAGCGTTATCGTAAAAAGTTCCGTCGGGCCCTGTAAAGTCGTTGGTTGCATTGTTGTCCATGAAGCCACACAGTCCCTCAGTGTGACCTTTGTAAGCAGCCGTTGGCGAATAAAGAATATTCAAATACTGTCTCTTCATCACCCGACTATGACGGACGTCGATGGTTACTGTTACACCTGTAAACAGTAGATAATTTAAGTTAGACCTCCGAGGGCATCTCAAGGGATCTTAAGCAGTCAGGACGGCAACGTTAGGGAAGACTTTGATTAAAAAATGAATTTCTGCCTTTAGTTAGAATTTCAAAATTGGTTGCATGTCTTTACCGTCTCATACAGCGCCACACCTCAACTTCAGCATAACGTATAAAAGAAGCGTTGAGTTTCATATTCAAATTAAAATAATTTGCCGTCGCGGTTTCAGTTCGCAGACAATGCAAATTGTGGTAATTTCACGTAGTTGTTTTGCATAGGACGGCTAAGAAATGTAAAGAGTTTTAAAATCCACGCGTTGAGTTATTGTTCTGCCTGTTCTTTTGTTTTTTCATGTCCTCGTTGCCGTTGCCGTCGTGGTTCGCTTAAGTTCCCTTCCAACTTCCGCCTGTAGAGTCACATATGTTTGGGCGATAACCGACCGTTTCACCGAGGCGCCGTTTCGCCAACGTCCAGTGCGTTAATTCTTAGTTCGTTTCGCTAACAGCTACTTCGTCATCGTCCAATATGTCGTTTTGTTTTCTTTTTCGGTTTGTACATCTCATGGGTTGAAGCCTTGTGAAGTGATTAAGTTACCGCACTAGCTCCAAGAATTTTCTTAGGTTTTAATTTGCGGTTTTCTTTCCTTCACAAGTAACAAAGAAAACAAACAAGGTTACAAACAACATGTAAACAAAAACAAAAACGCTTTAAAAGGTGGCCGAACACAGAGGAATTATATCATTGCGTGCATAACTTACATAATATATTTGGGCGCGTTCGCGGGAAAATGAAAAGGATGGTTTGATGAAAAAAAAAGTAAGGCTCGCCAGCATTCTTACCTTATGATCTCACGAATGAGTAGAAATGGAAATAACGTATCATTTTAAGACTTGCCTGCATCATACTGAAGTGAAATCAAAACGACGCTGTTCTCCTCAGCCTCAAACGAAAAACGTCTTTGATGATCCAATAACACTGTACCATTGCTTATTTCAATTGGTTCTGAAAAATTACTGGTGGCATTCATTTTCACTCCATCGATTCTGTGAAGAAATCAAGGTCAGTCACAACAAGTACTTGAATTACACTGAATCGACCAAGAAGAAATGGATGTCCTTATTACAAACAGTGAGTTAACATCGTAAATTGTATTGGAATAAATAAGTACCTTGAAGAACCAGATCGAACCAGACATTACGTTGTTCTCAACCGACGCAATCGAAAACTTAAAGAAATGACCTAAGAATTCTGATAAATGATACATATATTTCGCTTATTCAGCCTCCACAGTAAGACAAACTGCTTGCCTCGGCATTTGAAATTTCTCTGACATCTTAAAACAAGAATGTTGTAAAGAAGGAGCATACAGATTGTACCGTTGAGCATCTAGGTCAACAGCTTTTGGAAGATACCCAGTCATCCTGATTTTAGCCTCAGTTATAAGAAAACAGTTTTTAAGTGGATCAAAATGCATAAAACAAACCTGGTAATGGGCAGGTCTTGAACGTTTTCAGTTTTGATCGCCATAATCGTTACAACGGTTCTCCCAGCTTTAAGCGCAATTCCGCCAATTAACGAGGCTCGCTCGTAGTAATAAAAACGAAATTGGAAACCAAAATCGTTTTTAACACTTTTACAACCCCAGAACTCTCCAATGCCAAAAAAGTCGAAGTCTACACCTGAGAATGAAAGAAAATTGTGAAATTACAGTCATCATGCAGCAAAATATCTATGCTCATAGACCATATTTTCAAATCACTGAAAGTTGTTTCTTCCTTTGGTTGATAAAAAAGGAGCAAATAAAAGTACTCGTGCAGATGGTGCCTGTTTCATTTCTCTTAACTAATGTTTTCCTTTAAACTCCCGCTTTAGTTAAAAGTGATTGTTACGTATTTTTCTAAGATGTCTACATACCATCTAATGTTTTCAGGTGTGGATCACCTCCGCCATTTGCAACTATTCTTTGACAATATTCCCCCCGCCATCCCCCGAAACAGCTACATCGTGCTCCACAACCTCCGGTCAAAATAGGTTCTCCGTTACCTGAACAGTCTGTCAAGCAAATGATCACAGAGTCTAAAACTCGCGTAAAATTGAAAAAGTATGGTGTATAGTGAGGAAATGCAACACTATCAAAGAGTTGTTTGGCAAAATTCGTAGATTTATAAATGAAATGAAACAAAATCATAAATCAAGTAAGACTTCAATTTGGGTTAGAAAGTTTTATTGTTCAGTTGTGATATTAAAAGAAAAGTGTGGCTGATTAAAATAGTTATACTTCATTTAATAATGGCTGTGACTTGATTCAGCAAGGCAGTCAACGTCGGTTTCACTTAAACTTTAGCGCAGTAATATAATATTAGAAAGGAAGCATAAGGCATGTTGTCTTTCCAAATTGAAGAAACGTGCTACTTTACATAGACAATGGAAAAAGTACAGTTACTATACTTATTACGATATGTTACGTGTACTCCTGCAACGTCACGGGAAATAATAACAGGCGACCTATTGCGTTTGATTATTTCAAACTCTACACACCCCGAAACGGCGACATATCAGGCTGGTTGCATTCTGGTCCCATTCGCCTTCCAACGCAGACTGGCCCATTTCCACATGGAGGTCCTGGTGTTTTGCTATTTCCAAAGAAAATCATCCTTCTATTTAACAAATTGACGACAATTTTCCATCGTCTATTTAACAAACAGATTCCAAGTTGCCGTGCGTCTGTTCAGTAATAGATCACAGATGACGTCAAAATGTGGTAAGAACAAAAAAGTGGCACACGAGGCGCAGCCGAGTGTGTCACTGATGTTCTTACCACATTTTGACGTCCTCTGTGATCTATTACTGAACAGACGCACGGTCACTTGGAATCTATTTGTTTTATATAATAAAGAATTTAAAAAAGTTTTAATGATGATGTCATCTACACGTCTGTCCTCCAATAGATCATAACTGAGAACCAATCAGAATGCGTGCATAACTGAGCTTATTATATAAAACCTTATTGATCATAGAAATGACGTCAGCAACGTTCTAAACTAAAATGAAACCACGAGGCGCATCCGAGTGGTTTCACTTCAAAGTTTTCACTGCGAAAAAGAAATAGAACAAACGAACCACCAATGACGACAAAGCAATCATGCTAGTTGTTGGAAAAACGTACGCTATTCAGTAAATAAAAAAAAAAAGCTGGTGGTTTGATTATAACTGTAACAACAACAACAACAACAACAACAGCAACAATATTGAATCACTTTCTTATTCAAATACTGACAGTTGTCCTGGCCCGTAAATAGCTAATGTAGACACACGAACCTGTTTCGTTCCTTTTTCTTTAGTTTCTTTTTAGGGGGAGGAGGTTCTGGTGCGTTACAAACTCCCTGCTTCGGTGGGCTTGAAGTTGGTCCCACACAGTACTGTTAAGACAAAAGAAATTCAGCAAAAATCAACAGTTTTCTTCGTGATTTTTTCAATTTTGACCACAACTACATATGGTTGGGAAGGAAACCACCGACAACAAGAAAATAGAAAGAAATCAAGTGAGCAGTTTAAGTTGTAATGAATAAAAAAAAAATTAGTAATTAATAATAAAGAAAGAAAAGTAGAATAGAATGTTTAAAAATGAAAGAGCTGTTATCTTTTGTTTTGCTTTCCTACCTGATCGGCTGGGATCGGGCAGATACATTCCCTAAAATTGAATGGAGCGAGAAACAAACATTTTTTCTCATTGTTTTGTCAATTATCGATGCAATACTAAACTCTCCTCTAGTCAAAGAATCAACCTGTTAAATGACTATTAAATAAAGTTGTTCTTCGCTGAACACTTTGTTAGATAGAAGGCTAACGGTTAACCCCATTGAGACCCTCTACAAACTGCCATGCGACTTTCTGTAACTGCTTTGGTACTTTGGTCCACTTTGGTTAGCTCTAATAAGTGCAGCGATATTAAATCGCCTTTCCAATGACTGCTAATTAGACTGATACCTTAAACACGGAAAGACAGTGAGGTAGTCGGGCTTCATTTTAATTGTCTGAATGTTAGACCTTACAACTGAAATGCATTTTCCGATTGGAAGAGAAGGTGTCACGTGCCTTGAATTCGAAACTAACCAATTCTCCAACAAATCGATCAAAAACTTGAACTTTTGACCGGCACGTGACCAGGTCATGCACCTTGAGGTAAATTGAGGGTCTCGAGAAGCAAAACGTACCCTTTCCCTTGAGGCAAATCATTAAGTGCTGATTGGTTTCCACTAAGGATGGTACGAGTTTCCTAACTAGATGCAAAACTTAATAATGCGGATACATTGTAGCCTGCAGTGCAGGCGCCTTGTTAATGCGAGCTAACGCTAAAAGCTCGCGATCGTTTATCCTACCGACTATGTTTGATTTGCAGTTAGAGTGGACGGTGGTGGTAATCTCCCCTTCCTCAGCCCCACCCCTCTCCTTATTTTTGACCGTCATCCGCCCCCTTGGTACAAATTTATTTCTCTCCCCAGCCTTCCGCTTCCATTAAAATCAAAGATGGTGCCCATAATATTCGTTATGAAATTACTGAGCACTCGCTTTGGGACGCGGAGGTTTCTTGAGAAATCATCAAGAAAAAACAGGGATGGTGCCACTATAGCCCGGGTTCGATTCCTAGACGTCTGGTGTTACATTTGTGTCGATTTTGTTGGTTCTCGTCCTTACCCCGGGGGTCCCCCTCTTGTCCTCCGGTTTTCATCCCTCAGCAAAGGCAAACACTTTAAATGCTAATTCTAGCTGGGAATAGTGGACAAGAAGAGCCACACGGGGGAATGTCCTAAATTCCTATTTTTCCCATTTGATCCAAAATAACCCTAAGAGTCGTAGTAACTTACCTGCATCCAGACGTAGACATTAGACTAAAGCCCGTATTAAATGACAGCGCCAATTTCTTTCCAATAAAGTTAACAGAAACGCCAAATATCAGGTCGGAAATACCGTAGTTGCTATTTAGCTCCGCTGGTGTTTGACCTTGGCATATGCTTGAGGGGTAATTCAGCGAAATTCCTGCTTTTAGAGGTGTACTCACAAATAGCGACAAAGAAATGTCCGGAATTAAATCAGCTACAGCTTTCACTGAAAGATAAAATGAAACGCAAGCTAGTGAACTTCTTTCTGCAATAAGAAATCTTTGATTATAAATCTTTTTCATCAACAATTAAGTAAAAAATAGATAAAAGATAAAACAAAAAAGTGAAAAATTATATTTAAAGAAATAAAGATAATAACTAAAAAAAATAAGTAGAATTCCAAATTGTCCTTTCCAAGTTTACTCGATTTTCTGAGAGAATAAAGTGAACAATGATTATTAAGTTTTTTATAGGGGTGCATGGCCTTTGTTGGTGTTAATTAAAAAACAAAGGCGTTGTTTAACGACGCTGACAAAGAGAAAAATTCTTACCGAGCTTTGCCAGCACATTAAGAAGTTTTGACTTAGAGGGCTTGGAGAGCCTTTTGGGTAATGCTGGCACTTTTACGGAGACTGTGGGTGTCACAGTGATGTCCACATTCGCTCCAATCTCCAACTCTGGTGTTGGGCTATTCCAGTCTGATGTTAGACTGATCTACGGGATTGATTTGTAACATTAACCAATCGGTCAATCAACCATCCAACCAATAAGTTGGTCAGTCAGTCAGTAAGTCAGTCACTCGTGCATACAAGCGAGCATGAAGGCAGACAGACAGAAAAGCAGCCAAACAGTAAATGGTACGTGTTCTATCGATTTGTAGGTAAACCAAGCCGCACTGCTTGACAGTCTCAGTTAAACTTCCATTAAAGAAAAGGGAAATAGAAAAGATCCATCGCTGGATAATGATAATGATAATGATGAGAATAATAAATATAACAAGATAATACAACAATAATAATAAAATGATAAAAGTAATAATGATAACAACGATGATGATAACAATAGTTACAACAACAATTATTATGGTTTTTAATTACTATCATCACTACTATTATCATGTGATTGTCATATTGATTACAGTAATGATATCAAAGAAGGGAAAGCGATACAACGAAGACAAAAATAAGTAAAGTAAAAACCAGATTAAAAAAGAGCTCGAAAAGTAGTGAAATCCCAAATCTTAAAACCGTTTGTCTAAACGAGCTACAGTATAAACTTCAGCTCTTACTGTATCATCAGTTCTGGAACAACTTCCTTCGCTCCAACTGCATTCTCCACCAAGTGATATGACCCCGTTGGTGGATAGTGAACGGGTAATTGTTCCCTGATTTAAGGAAAAAAATAGATTTAAGTTCTTGATGTGAGTACCATGTTTTTAACTAACCAGGGTGTATGATACAAATAATTGCAAACTTTCCAGTGGAAGATGAGATCTCTACAAAGAGATTTCTTTGTATCCATTTGCTTACAGAGATATTTGTGTAAGCATAGTCAACTTACGGAAATTCCGGCAGACGCCTGCCCCGTCAGTGCCAAGAAAATTCCAACAGGGATTTTTATCAGTCCAAACCGTAGGTACATGGAACGACCCAGCTGTTTTTCCTTTAACGCGAGAAGATCTCCAGAATATCTGATGATCGAACAGATAGAACGACTTACTCATTTCTCAAAGAAAGAGACCATTAGATATCTTTATAACGCCTTAATTTTGACAACTGATCTCGTAAATAAAATTCCTTTCCACATTCCCATATTCATCCTTGGTTCCCTTGCTACCAAACCTATTAGTCTGCTACGTTCATTTTTCTCTGTTTGGCTTTTGGTTGTTTTTTCTCTGATTTTTTTATTCTGTACATAAATGAACAAACCACCTGAGATAACGTTTGAAGATCGTAGACTACTAAAAGTGCTTCACTGGATGTTGATATGCGAGTTTTGATCAGTTGAGCTATCTTAAGATATGTCGCGGCTGCATCATCTTTCAGTTGTTAAAGACAAAAAAATGGTATTTGCACACTTTGTGGTATTTCTCAATATAATAATTCTCTTTCAAATTAACAAATAGATTCCAAGTTGCCGATGTCCGATTCCAAGTTCATGTCCTCTGTGATCTATTACTGAACAGACGCACGGCAACTTGGAATCTATTTGTTTTATATACTAAAGAACTAAAAAGAGTTTTAATGATGACGTCATCTATACGTCTGTTTTCCAATAGATCATAAGTGAGAACCAATCAGAATGCGTGCATAACTGAGCTTATTATATAATTCAAATTGGACATGTGAATATTACAACACTGCCCAACTCAGAAGTAATGCGCGCTCGTAGAATAATTCTTTTAAAATTGTCGATCACTGCCTAGTCAAAGTATTACTTACCTCAGCTCCCCATTTAGACTAAACTGCAAAGAAAATTTCAGATTCCCCTCCAAATCTAGACCAACAGATGCATCCTTCAATCCCAGTCCAAAAAATTTCTTCTCGATTGAGACAAACATGCTCACACGTAGATTCATAGACAAGGAAATTTTAAGTGTCGCCCCTCCAAAGGACAGAAGCTTAAAAACAAAAAGCAGACAGAAGGGAAATCAGATGAAACCCTGATAACGTCAAGCAGAAAATATTTAAAGAGTTTTTTTCCAACTTAATGGGAAAAAATTGAATGATTAAGTTGGAAATGATGAAAAGTGCAACATTTTAAAAGTACAATCAAATTGAATTGCGTTTCAATTTGATGAAACTCAGCGGTTTTTTTTACAAATTAGTTTATTTTAATAAAATATTTTGATTTTTTAAAACCGACTGATGTGTGGAGGCTTGTTTTACCTTATGATCTATCTTTTCCGGTTGAAAATTTGCCAGGTTAACGTTTTTTGCTGAGCGCTTAGTTCGTCTGTGGTGGTTTTTTAGAAAATTTGTATCCACTTCCGTTATAACGGTTCCATTTTCATCCAGTTTTGCTGTGACTACTTCCAAAAGAAGAAGATTTCCGCTTGAATGTGTGTTTATAACCTAGAATTAGAAGTGAAAGAAGGCTATTAATAGAAAAAAAACGAACGGTGACATTTGATGAAAGTAATACCTAGTTACTTGCTTGCTTGAATAAAAGCACAAAAGAAGGCTAAAGGTACGCAGATGACTGAAGCTAATTCAAATTTTAATCAAACTGTTTCTTGTCCTGTTTGGATTTTCTAGGTTAACTAGTCACTGAAATACCGTAGCTACCATATCTAAGCATTACTAAGTTACTGATGTATTGAGTAAGGCTATATTGATAACGTTCCAAAGAAAGAACTCGTCTCGTGTCCCGATAGACCATAACCAATCAGTTGTTCTGCTTCCTCTGGATTCTGATAACCAATGGTGCACTACAAACGGGCAGTCTGGGATTATATCATACGAGACTCTACCTTTGCGATAAAGCCTGTACTTGATCTCCCAATTATCAAATCACCAGAGGAGAAAAGCCCGCCTCGTTTTTGCGATTCTGTAAACACGAGTCCTGGATTATTATCTCCTCCGCTACAACGTACTGACCCAGAAAATCTTTGTTTACTTGCTCGCAGTCTGAAAGATAAAAAGAGTAACACGAGAAATAATAGCGAAAATGAAAATGTCACCTGGCATGAGTGTGAATGATACGGCTCGGTATTGACTTAATTTCAACATGAAACGGATACCATAGCTTCTCTGCTTATTGTAAAGCTCTCACTCCTGACAAAATTTCAATAACCGTTATACTTATGATAGCGAAATTTCGAGCTATTTGTCTGTTTTTACGCGCCAGAATTAATTTAATGTCAACATAAAGCTCTGCTTTCGTTTTGTAACAACGTCTTAAAAGAGACATAGTTATTTCCTGTATGCGTGATCAACATCGAAAGCATGCATTCCTTACTCGTGTAAATGCTTGTAAAGCGTTTTCCTATAATTAAGCATGGTAGATATCAGTTTATTTCCTTCAAACTGCCACAATCACAAACAGAATACCTCGCGCCATCCAAGTGAGTTTTCCCGTCGCATCTGTGAAGTTTGGTTTCCAAGTAATCCGTATCGTCTGTTTTATGAACTGCAATAATACTCTCGATGAAACCGTCACTAGCGTTGGACACAACTATATCACCTGTCGTTGGAATGGTATTGCTTTTCTCTATCACCAGGTAATAAGAGTAGATGAAGGTGCCTCCAATGTCATAGGTGTGTCCAAGGCACCTGTAAATTCCTGAAAAGTGAAATAGTTATTTCAGGGATGCAGCTTACCTGCCACCGTTAGTTTAGGGGTTGGAAGGCAAAAGTTCGAAGGTAAAAAAAAACACCTCGGACACATTTACAAGACAAGTCATGCCGTTCACCTACCCGGAAGGTAGTTATCAGCCGTCTAGCTATCTGAGATAAAAGGAATTTGTTGGGAGCATGAATGTCAATTAAGAAAGCATTTAAGCATTCCACTGTTCCACCGATAAAAAAAAATATGTGTAGTTTTTCTGAGCTCCTCGTATACACACGGATTTAACAAGTCGTATATCTAACAAAAGAATGTTTGTTGAATCAGAGATGCCGTCGTCAAAGATAAATTAGGAGAGTAACATAACATCGACATAACGGTTTATTAACTTCTGATTAAAAATCCTTAAACCATTTTATCAAATTGACTTCCCAATCGATGAGGTCAGGCTACCCGGAGCAAAGCCAGGGTTAAATGACCGCTGGTAATGGAAGAAATTCTACCTAACATTAAACTTCCTTTTCACATTATGAAAGGGACCCATTCTTCAGGTTGTGTCACCTCGCCAAAATATTTGTGGAAAAAGTGTCACATATCTTAATTATACCCTATCATTCAGGAAGTACAAGTTATACAAGCGGACCAAGAATCTAGACAGTTTTGTGGTTCCTGGAAACTGGAGACCACTGGCAGAAGTTTTTTTTAACCGCCTTTAATACAGCTAGTATTCCCTGAACACAGACCTCTAAGGCAATGTACTAGCTGGTGACTCTGGTGACGGAAGATGATGGCGATGGACGACAGTTTTCAGTTTAATAACTAGAGCGCATTTGGAATTAAGTGTTGACTAATCAGAACTGCCCATGTGGGAAATCAGTTGAGGTCCACATTGAAATCGAGATAGACGACTTCGATATTTTGTATGGTAGTCCCGAGTAATGGCTCTTTTGAGAAATAAAGATAGCACTAAATAGGCAAAAAGAGGGATACAGACGACTCGTCAAGTCCATGTATCAAGCATTCCCTTTCCTAGCTTCTCCTCTGCTGGCTTTGGTGCTGCTAAGGTTTACGCTCCCATCCAAAATTATAGAATAGAATTTAAATAATCCTTTCACATTCCTTTCCTTTATTACTTTTAGTTAACTTCATTCGCCTACCAGTTGAAAGGATAACTATCTGGCTCTGGTTGGAAGTGATGTTGCCTGATATAAGATCATCCAGGTCCTCTCTATCTGGCTCATCCTCTAAAGTTGACTCATCGTCTAACTGTTCTAAAGACATCTCACTCTTGAAGTCCGCATACTTGATGACTTCTTCCAATCCAGCTGGAGCACTCAACATCAATTTGAAAGGGCCTGTTGTGAGATAAATGTAAACTGGAATAATTTTGCTTCAGACTTTAGACAGTGAGTGATCAATAACAAAAATATTTATCTAAACTTATTCTAATATAAATATAAAATGTTCCTTAGACCAAGCCAGGCATAATCAACAGTTCATGTAAACCGATGTCTACTAATTCTGAATTTAATAATAAATCCCGCTAAGTTTTGTCGAAACGTCAATCACGATCTGTGAGGAGTGTCCTTTCTAGCACTTGCCTTACCTAGAAGATCACAGTGAAGGATCGATTCATATTTCACTGTTACTAAGGAGACTTTCTTGGAAGGGATCGACTGTGTGGGGACCTCGCAGTTTATGACAGATGTCTTGATAAAACCCTTTTTTTTCTTTGTATATCCACCCTCTTTTAGTGCTATGCTTGAAACACAATTATTATATATAATAAAAAGAAAATATTTGTAGTTGATGGGTGCTTCACTTCAAGCATGGGCAAACAAACAGAAGCACACATGATAACATAGCGCGCGTGCTTGCCCTATAAAAGTCCTATCGAGCCGCTATGAACGAAATCTTTATTGACGTGAGCATTTCTTTTACCTGGCTTCAGAGTTTCTGCTGCAGCCATAACTGTTCGTCAAAACAACAGTATGGTGGTTGCCCAGGAGAAAACTGCAAGTTTCCTGCAGTCTGTCTTCTCCAATT